TGACCAAGGCATCTCCCACGGTGGCAGGGATCGAGCTGGCGCTGCGCGTGCAGAAGGACATGAGCCCCAAGGCCACACTGAAGGAATTCAAGGAGAAACTGGAGGAGGAGAAATACCGTGCGGAGCTGAAGGCACTGAAGGAAGAGGTGGAAGCCTTCGCAGCCACCTTCCCACTCCCAGGACTGCCTGTCCTGTAAGGGGAGACACCCGTGCTCTGCTCCCAGAACCTCGGGAGGACCCGGGATCACGGCACGCTCACACCCCAACACCCCAGTGCCTTCTCCCAGCACCTCCCTGCTGGAACTGCAGCAGCAGCTCATCCTTTGCCTCTTACTCCCCTCTCCCTCCCGTGTGGGGCACAGGGACCCCCTGAGCACAGCCCCTGTAGGGACACCAGCCCTTCACCACTCAGTGTCACCACTGGGACCGAGCACCAGGTCACCCTCACCTCACAGCCAGGTGCCACCCAGCTCCTGCTGCCTGTGGGAGCAGCACATGAGGCCGGTCTGTCCACATTCCCTGGACACACTGACCACAGCAGCGGGAGGAATGGAGGGTCCAGCTGCACAAGAGAACTCACAGCCACTAAAAGCCCCCCTAGTTTCAACCTCAAGGATTCCCCTTCATCCTATGTGCCTTCCCACCTCCTCTGCAGGCTCTGACAAGGCCAGGCCTTATCCCTAACATCCCTCCTGGGATTACCCTCCCATCCTAGCCAGAGCCTCTGGTATTTTTCTCAGACCTCTGAGCACAAAGCTTAGGTTGAACCATTTTTTAATAAGCACGGTAAAATTAAGAATTTAACCACAATGTATGACAAGAATTATAAGCTTTAAAAAATACGACCGATTTTTTTTTTTTTTTTGTATTTCAAAAATATCTGAACCCAAATAAATAATTTTTTTTTTTTAAAAGTACATTTCTCAGACTAGTCATTTGGTGTTATTAACATCTGTTAAAGTCTTGTGCAGTAACACTTACAGCACGACACTAAGACATGCTTCTTGGATTTCTCCCGCTCACACTCGCTCTAACTACGGACGCAAGCATTCGGCACGCACAGGCACACACACGGAACTCAACATGCAGGAATAGGATACAGTGCTTTAAAACAAGATGAGAATTCATCACAGCCTCCTGGCAGCCCTCAGAGGCAGCTCCGAGCCCAGCCCCATCCCCGTGCCAGCGGCGGTGCCGCCGGCAGGACCGGGTACCCTGTTTCTGCCTTCCAGTTAAATCCGTTTCGGGGAGCAGCGGGCGGTGGGTGTGCGGCCCCTCCGCCATCGGGTGCAGTCTGGGGCTCTGACATTGTGCTCTGGGGCAGGTGTTCTCCTGCAGCCTGGGCAGCTCCCTGAATTCCCATCATACCCTGTTACGGGAGCCTTCTCACAGCGCTGCTACGAGCCTGGGGGCCTGCCCAGCTCCCCAGAATCCACAGCGGAATCCGCAGCGTGGGGTGTCATCCACCACCAGACTGGGGGACTCTGGGACCCCCCCACTCAGTGAAAACCAAAGAACTGGCCTGAGGGCACAGAGCCATCAGCTCCTGCCCCTGGAGTGCCTCTCCTACCCCTCCCAACACGGTGAATATTGCTAGAGTATAGGCAGCACCTCCCTGCCAAGGCAAGGCGGCTGTGGAGCTGCCCTGAAGGGATTGCTACTGGATGAAAGGAAATCTGAGCACTGTTCTCTGAGAAATGAAACCTGTGTAGGGTTAAGATCACCTACGGCTATGGCTGACCCTCCTCGGGTGGGAGCTGGAAGCGGCAGGTTAGTAGAGAGCAGAGCAGGGGCTGGCAGTCGGGAGGAAACGAGAGCCCTTCCCTTGCTCTGATGAATTCTCGGTCAGGTTTAACACCTCCTCTCCCTGGCAGCGAGGAGGGAGCCGGCGCGGCCGTGCAGGAGGAGGGGACATGCTGGGCTGGCAGCACTCACGGAAGCAGGCGAGGGCCATGCCAGGGCACTGCTGGCTCTGGCAGCAGAAAGGCTGGTGAGGATGGCACTGCCGCTGCCAGGAACCAGCCCTGCTCCTGGTGGAAGGATGGCTCGGGCAAGCCGACAACACGCGTGCCAGGACTCATGGCAGGGGCTGTCAGTGCAAAGGTGGTGACTTGTTGTAAGTCTGTGAACATCAGAAACGGGTGAGGTACCACAGCGAGATGGGGAAAAGTCCTAAAGTGCCGATACAGGGATCTGTACTGTACAGGAGCAGAAGGTCAGGCAGAGGAATCACTGAGGAAAGAGGAATTCAGCCCCCAAGCATCAGCTGCGCTCGGAATCCCCCTCATTTCTGCCACCACAAACAGTGAGGGCAGGCTGGGCTCTGGCTGCACCGAGGTGCCACAGCCAGGTGTAACTCCCACTTTTCCAGTCCAAGCTCAGAGGTTACATGGCCAAGAGGAGGACAAGCACTCCAGGGCATGTTTCTCCACAGTTCCCAGTTGCAGATAACCACTGAGCTCCCGTTTGGAATGGGGTGATGTCCCAGCCAAGCCCCCGGGGCATCCTCCCAAATCAGAGCTGCTTTGTGGTGCAGAGGTGAAGCAGGTCAGACAGGTGGTAGTGCAAGTATTGCTCAACACAGCCTTGAAAATCAGATACTACAGGTTTGACAGAGGGAGCAATGAGAAGTGAGTTATTTATCAATTTGTGAGCACAGTTCAACACCAGAGGTCGAGACCACTGTGACTAAGAGATGAGCCACCACTAATCATCCTCCCGCTCTGCGCTGTCAGCCTGGAGGAAGATGGTGAGTGAGTCAACAGGAAAAAAGTTCCTCCCTCCCTCCCTCCTCAAACCCAAACAGCACCGGGTTGTTTTTCATCAGGAAACAAGCTCCTGTTCTGACCATAGCTCCAGAGCAGGACACTGGGAGCTTTCATCTGCCTGGTGGCACCTGCATTACTCATTTGCTGAGATGCCTCTTCCCCCAGGGAGTTTGGGTGCACATGGATCAACACCTTGAGTCACTTCAGGAAGCAGACAATTTGATGGACACAGAGGCCTTTCACCAGCAGACCCAGTTCACATGCGACAGGAGGGCAAAGGTAGGACAGAAAAAGGCTTTAAACGTGCTTTAAAGGCGAGCAGCCCCAGAGAGACACACAGCTCACCTTAAGCAAAGGCCACACCACACTGCTTCCAATTTTGACCTTAAAATACCATCACAAACAACCTCTGGCCTGGGAAATCCCTTTGGAGAGTACCACAAGCTCAACTGGCTCAGCTGAGCCACCAGAAACAGCAATAACCTTAAAACCAGCTTTTCTGCACTGTTGGCCTATACCCCAGAGAGCCCTTTCCAGGGGAGAGGAAGAGGTGGCAGCAGTACTGTAGAGCTGGTGCCAGACAACGGCCTCCCCAGGGAGCCTCCCTGCCTTTGGGACACGGGTTTTGGAGCAGTGCAGGTCTCACAGCAAGTCTCAGCGAGGTCTAAGCCACGCTGGGGAACCCCAGGCTGTACACAGAAACTTCCCAGGCTCAGAAGGAGGATCACATTCATTTCCAGTGCTGCCTCACATCGTCACCAAACAGAGGTTTAAAAAAAAGCAACAAACCAAACAACGCATCGGCTCTTGTACGATCTCAGCTGTTCTCACCCCAAAATCAGTGTTAAAAAGAAATAAAACCAAGATTATCTTTCCTAGCAAGGCTTTTCTGGCTCAGAAGGACCACAGGGGCTGCTACTGCCACATGGCACTGGGCAGAGCAGCCCGGGCTCAGCATCTCCAATGAGACACCGGAGGGAAGCGCTGCGCCCGGGCGCAAAGCTTTCGGCACTGACAGGAACAATCTGAGAGTGTCACCGTGCTGGTGGCACATCCTTTATGGCACAGAAGCTTTAAAAGAAGAAGTTCTTAGTATCCAGGCTCAGAGAGCAGTAGTTCTGCCCTGTCCAGAGCCATCCAGGAGCCCCAGGAGAGGTAGCTGTGACACGGCAACGGCTCAGCCAGGAGCAGCACGCAGCAACGCCAGCCTTGTTTTACCACAAAGCACAAACGTCAACTCCCAAACAAACAAAAAAAAAATAAACTATTACAGATACAACGTGGAATCCAGTACATTCATCCCTGATCTCTCCTGAGCACTAGTTCCTCACCAGCCAGGCAGCCTGTGCTAACAGCCTGCTGTTTCACAGCGTAGCTCCAGCTGAATCGCATCATTTCCCCATCACAAAAAGCACCTAAAAATGAGGGCACTCGCCCTCATTCAGTTCCCTTCTCTCCTTTAAAAGCCACCCCTGACATCACATGCTTTGAGGAATCCCAGTCTCCCTCCAGCCTTCTCAGAGGTCGCCCAGCAAATAGGACGTGACAAATGAACAAGGCACAGTGCTCTACATTCACGGCAGCCGGCGCCTCGGGGCCCAGCGTTAGGGAGCGCTTCCACCTTCCTGATTTTAACAGAGCTGGGGGAAACTGGCAAACACTTCCTGGAGAGAAGCACATGTGCCTTCACCGTGCTCCCACCCACCCAGGAAACTCAGAAAATGCAGGAAGGGACACCATCCGCACGGCTGCACACAGACGGGTACCTGCAAGCTGCCACCCTGCCAGGGAGCTCCGAGCTACACTCACATGACACACCAGTGGATTAAAAACTTCACGTGGCCTTGACATCTCCCCTCTGGTCTCTGCCCTGGCTCCACGGAAGGGACTGGCAGCGCTCAGGGCTCTGGCAGAAGCGTGCAGAGCACTGTGTTATTTCGGGGGCTGCACACTAGTAAGCGTTGATCCCCGAGACAGCCCACCTCTCTCCATGCCACAATCCCCCTGGGATGCTGCCAGGATCCTCTTTAAAAGTTAACAGTGCCCCTTCTAACATTTACAGAGTGCCCGATGGTTTATGTGATGGAACACGTACGCTCTTGGCCACAGGGAACACCCAGGAATCGGCTCCCGCAGACACGGATTTCTGCGGAGCAGAGACACAAACCCCTCGGCCCCTTCCCGGCGCGTGAGAGCTACTGCAGACAGCGGCAATGTCAAGCACGGATGAGCTCTGTCAGACTCCGAGCACGCAGGCACACGGCCTGGGCAAGGCTAGATTTTGTACAAAAAGCTGGGGACATAGTCAAATCTGAGCAAGGGGCTCCCCCCTCGCCCCGGTTCCTGAATGTAGTGCAGCTTCAGCAGCTCGGCCAAATACTGCACGATTTTGACATCTTCATTGGCGAGGCCCAGTTGAAGCTTCAGGAAGTTCATCCTGCGGTTCACGACGGATTCCTCCGGTTCCCTTTCGCTGATGGGAAGGTGCAAATGATGGCAGAAGGTGAAGAGGAAGGCTTTAGAGCACAGCTGGGTGAGGATGCTTTGGACGTGCATGTAGTAGGTGCTGCCCCGCTTGATCTGGGTGCGGTGGTCGGCCAGCCGGGCCACCACGGTGCCCTTGTAGAGGGGGCAGCGCAGAGTCTTGCTGTCGGCGTCCAGGATGCTCAGGTAGCGGCTGTACCGGCTCAGGGCGTGCAGCACGTTCACCCCCGCGGGGGACACCGTCCTGGAACAGCAAGGAGAGAGGTCACGGCTGGAGGGGAGCTGCATCCGTGCCCTGCATCTCATGAGCTTTCCCTCTAGTTCACGAGCTGGTGTGAGAGCCTCTGCGGGAGAACAAAGTCTAGCATAGAAGAGAGGGGACAAACAGCCTCTCCAGCCTGCCAGATCCCAAAGAAACCTCGATTCCCTGGCCCCCACGTGCCCTAATCTGCACTACGTGTGTGCTACTGCATAAACCACCCCACTTAGGGTCAGCTTCCTTCCTCAGCAACACAGACAGGGAGTGATAGGACATCTCTGGTGAACAGACACAAACCCTACAGCAGATGGAAGCTTCTGGATGTGACAACAGGGACTCAGAAACCCAAACCAGCTCCCTCTTTCCATGAGCTCCTCTTTCCCCCATGTCACTTTGGGATGAAGCTACTCTGAGGTGGTCAAAGCCCTGAGTGGAGCAGAACCTTCCACCTTTCCTTTAGAAAAGAGAATAAAACCAGAATATCCCCCGGCAGAGCCTGTCCATTTGTCACTCAGGTGCAAACCCACAACACACAATTACCCACCAAGCTTAGCCTGATGTTATTTAAATGCAAATCACGAGCCTACGCAAACCTTCAGCTCCTCCATTCTCTGTCTCTGTGGTGACAGTCTCTGGGCTGAGAGTTCCCAGCCTCCAACTGGGAGCCCCAACTGGTGTAAGAGCTGCCCCCGTGCCCAGGCAGCACCTTAGGAGAGGCAGGATCCTTACCAGAATAAATTATTTAGCCTGTAAGTTCCTTCCCAGAGCCCTCGTACAAATGGTTCACTGAGAGCACCCACGTTAAACCCAACACTTAATTAACATTCCACGGAGGAGAGCTGAAATGACTGACACACGTTACAGGCAGTGCTTAAAAAAAGATTTCTGTTTATAAAAATTGCATCTAACCACAAACATTGAGCAACGAGTAAACACTTGGGGCTTTTAAAAACCTCACTGACAGACAGAGAGCTCGTGAGCAGCTGTTGCAGAGCTGTCATCCCGCCTCACGAGCACAGAAATGAGGGTAAACTCACAGCTCTGGGTAATTTCCCCATCCACAACCCCCAGCAATGCAATACTCTGCAGCCCAGAAAGCAGCTTTCTGTGGCTTAAGTTCCACGCTGCTCAGGAACACTCTTTCAGGAGCTGTTCCAGCCTGGCTCTGAGCACTGGGCTGCCACTCTGACTCATGTTTTCCACACTGGTAACAGCAATGGCCATTCCCTGTCACACCTGCACCCAAACACGTCCTGCTAACACGCAAAAAAATCCTTTTCATAACAGCAACAAAGGCAGGGCTGAAATCTTGAGCTGAGCAATCACTGTTTGCTAATAATGAGCTGTGAAGCCACAGTTCAGGACTGGGTGTTGGGAAGGGGTGCTTGGTTTTGGGATGGTCCTCGCCCCAAGCAGAGGTTTCCTGCAATCCCAACACTGCACCTGCACAGCTCTGAGGGCCTTTTTTACTTGCCAGCACAGCCCAAGGTGCTGCACTCCAATTTTTGACCTACAGATCTCAGCACTCTTCATTAGGGTCCACAAGGAAAAACTCTCTCCCACAGCAAAGCACCATTTAAACCCCAGAAGTCCAGCTAGAAACATCAGAAGGGTTCCAGCAGGGGATTGGAAAGCGGAGCACACAAGGGACTCCTGGAATACTTGTATCAGATCGACCAGGAACCCAGCAGGACTCAGGTGTTTGTTCTCCACTTTGCCAGGCAAAGACCTAAACCAGAAGGAAACCTCCTGGCCAAATAACTCACCTGAGGCAGGCAGCAAACACCCAGCAGACTTTTAAATATTAACTCTCGAGTGAGGCTGGACACAAAGAGACAAATCTACCCCTTTTCCAAAATAAATCCCACAAGCAGAAATTCGTGGCAGCTGTGTAGGTTAATTAGAGACCTCCCGTGCACACCCCTTCCTCTTTGAGATGGAAGTTCTTACCACACACCTCGACACCACTAAAGCAAACAGATCCTTGGATTTACCTCTGGAGTCCGATCAACTTCCACTTCTGAAAATCCACCAGGTGCAGAGGGGAGGTGACCCAGTGCTTGACGGGCTTGGCGTACACGCTGCAGTTGGGCACGAAGATGGAAAGCGCCGTCACCAGCTTCTTGACCATGGCCTCGTCCTCCCCGAGCACCACCAGGGTCCTCCCGCTGAGCAGGGAGTAGATGGCGGGGTGGGCGAAGGGGTACTGCCGGATGAACCGCAGCGCGTTCTGCCCGGCCCTCTTCTTGTGCCTCTCTCCGGCCCCGCAGGCGGGATGGGCAGGAGAAGGGGTCCTGTCGGAGCACGTGGAGGCAGCGCTGCTGATGTAGCTCGTGGAGTCCGAGCACTCGTCCAGGCTGCTCTTGCTGACCTCCCTGCTGCCCGACAGGTACCGTGAGTCGAGCTCGTAGGGCAGGAGCCCCCCTGGGACGCCGTCGTGGGCGGGGAAGCCCCCGCGCAGCCCCTGCTCGGCCGCCCGGTACGGCTGCGGCGGGATCCGCACCACGCCGTCCTCCTCGCACGGCTTCTGCCCCAGCTCAGGCAGAGGCTCCAGGAAGTTGGGGCTCTCCTTCCCGATACAACAGGCAGCATCAACCTGCACCAAGCTCTCCTGCTTCGAGACGTCATCCTGCTCGTCGGCGACGCCCGGGCTCAGTCTGGGGGCGAAGCGAAGGCCGCGCTCGTCGTCGTTGTCCGCGTAGGGCTCCTCGTTAATGGCACTTGGGTAGCTCGCCTTGAAATCCTCCGGGATGAGGGACTCGGAGGGACACGTGCTGAGCACCTCGATGCTGTCCTCGCTGACCGTGCGCCGGCTGCCCACCTTGCTCCGGCCCGCCTGGGGGCTGGGCATGACGGGCAGGCTGGCCTGGCTCTCCGACTTGGTCAGCCCTGACCCCGACTTCTCCGTGCCCAGCACCTCAATGCTCTCCCCGCTGCTGATGCTGCCTTTGATGTCTGCATCCAGATAGTCCAGGTTCTCCTGGGGCTCAGACGTCACGGACTCGGACATTTTGGGTTCTTCGGAGTCCTCCATCTCCTGCTCCATCTTGATGGGCACACACTCCACACTGGACTTGTAGGAGCCCAGGCTGATGACCACTTTAGGGGTGAGGGACTCTTCCAAACACTTTCCATCCGTGGCATCTTGGCCAAGCCCCTGGCAGCCTCTGTACTGTTTTTCAGGAGGTTTTTCATCCAGAAAAGACACATCCTCGAAGAGGAAGTTGGTGACACTCTGCTGTTTCAGGAGTGCCCGGCTAATCTGCTCTGTCAGGAGGTAACACACGTCACCTCGGAAAGTCCTCTCGATATGGTGCAACTGGTCAAGGGTTTGGGTGAAAAAATAAACATCACAGAGCTCCTCCAGTGTCTTCAGCTTCTTGTCAAAGCACTTGGCAGACTTGGCTTTGATGAGCTTGGGGGTGTAGGATGGGATGTGGGTGTAAAGGTGCATTTCACCGGGCTCTGCAGGGTCAGAGGGAGCCAGGTCCTGATCACAGCCCGCGTCGGCCCGATCCAGTGCACACTCCGGCTCGTAGGGGTGGAACTCTGACTCCTTCAGCTTCCTGTAGGGATAGGACCGGATCTGTCTCAGCAGGTCTTGGTGCTCAATGATGGACTTTTCCACGCTGGCCAGCTCGTTGGCCTTCTCGATGGCCTGGGTTGTGTAATACCCCTTGTCGTTGGCTTTCTTCTGCGCCTCGGTCTCGTTGTGCAGGACAGTCCTGGTGTAGTCGAGGTCTTTCAGTTTCTTTTCCAGCTCGTTGGCAAAGGCTTTCCGGTTCCCTGTCTTGAGGCATTCGGAGGCTTTGGAGAACTCGGCGGAGAGTTCCTGAAACTGCTGCATGATTTTGTGCTCGTCAGCAGAGATGTAGGCCATGCAGAAGGGCCTCACAAAGCCACGGGCTTCCAGGTCATACAGGGTCAGGTGGTGCACATAGGCGAAGGCCCCTTCCTTGGAGTCCCCCAGCACCACCTTGGAATCCTCCACGAAGTTCAGCTTTGGGTAGGCAGAGCCAGGGGGGTGCCCCACGAAGGACGCCTGGTAATCCACAGACATGATCCGCAGGGAGAAATAGTTGAGATCGAAGGTGCCCGACACCTTGGCGTCATCGGGGATGGTCAGGAGGGGCTGGGGCCCCACTTGCTCCGAAAACTCGGAGATGAGGATGAAGTCCCGGGTGAACTTGGAGCCGGCGACCTTGGCCCAGGGGTTGGCGCCGTGGCCGGCGAAGGGGAACAGCGGCACCGAGTACTCCTCGGGTAGGGGCGGCTCGCGGTACAGATCATCCTCCAGCTCCTCCTCCCTGGTGAAGGCCACCACGTCAGGGGCGCTGATCATATTTCCCGCAGGACGGGGCCGACATGGAGCAGCGCCGCGCCCCCGGTCCCCTCCCGCCGCGGGAGGCGCCGCCGCAGCCCCGTGTCGCCCTCAGGCCGCCGCCCCGGCCCGGCCCCGCCGCCGCCGCAGCCCCGTGTCCCGCTCACGCCGCCGCCATGGCCGGAGCCGCCTCCTCACGGCCCCGCAGCCATCTTGGGGTCACATGACGCGCGGCCTCCGACCCCGCCGGCAGGAAGCGACACCGCCGCCACCTCCCCTTCGCCCTCGGCTGTGGCCGATATTTCTACCGTGGTCGTCCTTTGTCGTTACCGATCCAGGGACGGGTCCGGCGGAGGGAAAGGGGGAAAAACCGAGGCGGGGCGGCGGCGGGGGGACACTGAGGATGAGGCGCGGGGGATCTCGGGAGTTGTAGTTCCCTGGCGCCGCGCGGCATCCCGGGAGTTGTAGTTCTCTTTGCGGCAGGACGTGACGGTGAGGGAGAGCGACCGGGAGAGCGCGGGAGGGAGGGAGGTGAGGGGGAACGGGGGAAAAGGGGCAAAAAAGGGAGAAAAGAGCAGAGCCGAGGGGGAGAGGGGAGGGCAGGGGGCTGCCCTGGGTGAGGGGGAGCCCGGGGCGGGCCGAGGAGGGGCTGCCCAGGGTGAGGGAAAGCCCGGCCTTAGGGGGAAACAGAGCGGGGGAACCGCGGAAAACGGGTGGGAAAAGGAGGGGAAGCGGGGAGGGAAAGGGCTGCCCCAGGTGAGGGAGAGCCCGGGGAGTACCGGGGGGGGCTGCGCTGCCGCGAGTGCGGGGGGCCAGGGCAGGAGAGGCCCGAGGCCCCGCCGGTGCCCGGAGGATGCGGGACCCCCGGCAGCGGTGTCTGGAGGGGGTGTCACCTTCCCCAGCCCCATGCGGGCCCCGAGGGGCTGCCCTGGACCCTCCCGGCGTGGCTGAGCGGGGACACCAGCGATCTCTCTCCATGCCCGCAGGGACGCGGAGCAGCACCATGCCCTGTCCCCGCGGGAGCCGCTCCTGCCCCCCGTGATGATCCTGCAGGTGAGGCTGTTGGCCAGGGGCAGGATGCTGCCCCAGCCCTGGCGCCTCTTCTCCCGGGCCGCCGAGGACAGGGCTCTCCAGAGGATCCGGAAGGTGCTGTGCGTGGCCGAGAAGAACGACGCTGCCCGAGGGATCGCCGATCTGCTCTCCAACAGCAGGATGCGGCGGGTAGGGACACGCCACATCCCGCTGCTCCCTGGGACATGTGGAGACACACCACATCCCGCTGCTCCCTGGGACACCTAGGGACACACCACATCCCGCTGCTCTCTGGGACACCTAGAGACACACCACATCCCACTGCTCCCTGGGACACCTAGAGACACAACACATCCCACTGCTCCCTGGGACACTATCCCACTGTTCCCTGGGACACCAACAGGTGGGGCTCAGCTGGCTGGGGAGAGGCAGCAGCACAGCCCTGGGCTCAGCTGTGCTCTGTGTCCTGTGTGGGAGCCTCAGGTCCTCCCACCTTGCTGAGGCTTGTGGAAGTTTCTAGGTTGTGCGTTTGTTGCTGTTTTTCTACAGGAGCAGGATGGTTTCTTCCTTGATTAGGACTGTCAGTGCTCAGGTTCTCAATAACATCTTGCAGTCAAATAAAGGAGGTTGTATGAGGTGGGGGGTTGCCCTCTTTTCCCTGGTAACAAGTGACAGGACAAGAGGAAACTACCTCAGGCTGATTTTTGTCTCTGGACACTTCTGACCACATGAGGGTACAAGAATGGCCTTCCTTGTTCTGTGGACAAACACCACTTGGCCAAATGTTTCTGAGAGTCTCAGATCCCTTTTCCATGTGCTGTGAGTGCTGTTGGAACTCAGCTCCCTCTGCCCAGACTGCCTTTCCCAGACACTGATCTCCATGGTGAGGACTCCCTGTGTCATTCCTAGATTTGCAGCGTGTGCCAAAGGCTTCAGGAACTGAAACCATCCGTTGGCATTTCCCAGTCAAAAAGCACCAATTCTGCAGCATCAACAAGTGTCAGGGGTTTACTGGAGTTTACAGAATAAAGCAAAGATGGGCTGTGGTTTGGAGAAGAGGAATTCAAAGATCTGTCCTCTCTGCTGCTCTGTTTTGTGACCTTTAACAGTTTGCATAATCACTTCGTTTCCCAACTAAGGAAGTAGAAGGTGATTCTAGACCAGAATCAGAGAATCATTAAGGTTGGAAAAGACCTCCCAAGATCAAGTTCAACGTGTGACCAATGCCCACCTTGTCACCCAGCCCAGAGCACTGAGAGCCATGTCCAGTTTTTCCTTGAAAACCTCCAGGGATGGTAACTCCACCACCTCCCTGGGCAGCCTCTTCCAATGCCTGACCACTCTTTCCAGGAAGAAATTCTTCCCGATGTGCAACCTGAACCTCCCCTGGCACAGCCTGAGGCCAGTTCCTCTTACATGAGAGAAGAGCCCAACCTCATAGAACCTCCTTTGTTTGACTGCAAGGTGTCATTGAGAACCTGAGCACTGACAGTCCCAATCAAGGAAGAAATCATCCTGCTTCTGTAGCAAAAAGCAGCAAATACACAATCTAGAAACTTCTGCTAGTCTCAGGTTGGAGGTAGCCTTGGGGACCCGGAGCTGGGACACTACTTGTCATTTGGAGCAGGACAGGTGTTTGTCAGGAATTTCTGTGATTCTATGGTCATTGGCCAGCCCTGTTAAACAAATCAGTTCTTCATTATCCATGGGGAGATAACCATCCCTGAAGGTGACTTCAGGGTTTAAAATACCCTTACCTTGAAAATCACCATTTCAGCATCTTCATAAATGATAACAGGCAATTTCCATTCCACTGCTGTAATTCCCATTAGCTCCAGGACCTGGTTCTCCATTGCCCTGTGCCTCCTGTGCTCCATCACAGCATGTACAAAGCGAGGCAGGATGGATTTGTTTTCTGTTAAAACAACAAAAACTCAGGAACTCTCCTTTTCCTTCTAGAGAGAAGGGTTTTCCAAGTTCAACAAGATCTACGAATACGATTACCAGATGTTTGGCCAGGTAAGAGTTTCCTTTCAATCTGCTGCTGGGTTAATGAAGTGCAAATGCTAATTAATAAAAGCCATTTGTCAGGAGTTATGAAACACATCTCCAGTGCTGGGGATGTTCTGCCCAAAGATGAGGAAATGTCAGATGTTGTTTTCTTGGCTCGACCACCTATTTTGTTGTTTTAAGTCTTTGAACTTTCTGGTTTTATATCCATTAAAAATACATTGTGGTTGTTTAGAATTGGGAGCTTCCTGTAAAAATTGAGGATAAGGCCTCAATGGATTTACCTGTCAGTAGAGAGGAGAGCTTGTTATGTTGTATTAGTTGTGGTTGTCCCATCCCTGGGAGTGTTCAAGGCCAGGTTGGCAGGGGATGGAACAAGATGAGCTTTAAGGTCCCTGCCAGCCCAAAGCCATTCTGAGATTCTGTCATTAACAGGAGAGAGGTGTCACTGGTGGTGTCAGTTGAGAACTGGAGGAAGATTTTGGGGCTGTGGGTAGTTTTTAGTGAACGATGGGCACTAATTACCTCGCTCTGTCTCTTGCAGAACGTTACCATGGTGATGACATCCGTGTCAGGACACTTACTGACTCATGAATTCAGGATGCCGTTTCGCAAATGGTTGGTACCTTGTGCCCTTGGCAGGGAGGGGTCTGTCACCTCCTGCTCCTCACAGGAAGGGGTCTGTCACCTCCTGCCCCTCCCAGGAAGGGGTCTGTCACCTCCTGCTCCTCACAGGAAGGGGTCTGTCACCTCCTGCCCCTCACAGGAAGGGTCTGTCACCTCCTGCTCTTGGCCCTGAGCCGAGTGGGGCACTGCAAGCTCAAAGACAAGGGGGCACGGAGGGACTCTGACGTCCAAATTTTATGGAGAATACTAAAATATTGTTTCAAATTCCTGTTTTCAGAGCGCTGTTTTTTGATTCTGTTGCTTTTAAGTGTTACTCAGCATTTCACGTGAACTCTGTGTTGTCCCAGATAGGCCTGTAATAAAATACATTATTAATTGCAGTACTTAGGCAGCACTAGTTATGTCTCACAATATATGTTTCAGTTTTTGTAATGCACACTGTTTATCCTGTGTTTCCCAGGCATAGCTGCAACCCTTTAGCTCTTTTTGATGCTGAAGTTGAGAAGTATTGCCCTGAAAATTACCTGGATATCAAGGTACGTCGTGGTCAAGAGTTGCCCTGAAACTGAGTTCGGGGGTTGGTTCAACAAATACTGTGCCAGGCAGAAGGATGATTGTACCTTTGTCCTTAACATCCAGATTTCTAGTTTAGCAGATTCCTCCTGCATTTCCTAGGACTATTAATGCTGTTTGTTTGAACATTGGAAGTCTCCTGATTGTGCACAAGTAGTGCAGTAAAGGAACAACAACTTTGCTAAAGATAGAAATGGTTTTTTCCAACAAGGTGGGATTGGTGATTGTGTCTCAGTTTTACAAAAAATTACATTTTTAGAAAACAGATTGCAGTACAACCCGCTCTTGGCCAAGCTTTTTAACAGAATTAGATATAAATAAATGACTCAATTCTTTTGAAAGCTGCCTAATCTCATGAGACACACAATTACCAAATGTTATTGCAACAATCCATCTCCATGGATACACGCTGCATTTCGTGTGCAGTGAGTCATTCCAAAATTAAATGACAAAGCGAGTGGCCTGGAATGTCTCCCTGTGTTGTTTTCTCCTCTCAGAAAACCCTTGAACGAGAAATCCGGCAGTGCCAAGCCCTGGTGATCTGGACTGACTGCGATCGGGAAGGGGAGAACATCGGCTTCGAGATCATCCATGTGTGCAAAGCTGGTGTGTAGTAGAGTGTCTTCATCAGTCTGGGTTTAACAGCCCCTCAGGGATCTTTTAGCAGAGGCATATTGTCAATCTTCCTGTGTCCAGGTTGAATGCTCACTGTAGTTCTGATAAATAAATGTGGCTCTGATAAACCAGAAATACATTCAGCTGTCGGAGAGCTGTAGAGCAGGTTGGCAGCACAGTCTTTTGAAGGCAGCTGTTTATTAGTTGCTCCTCTCCGTTGGTGTTTGAGTCAGTCTGATTTCTTTTTTGTGTGTATCTGGCAG